GAAAAAAAAAACACGTCAAAGCCCAATCGTAAAACAATGAGTTGTGCCTCTTGGGGCCACCTTGGGAGATCTCTTGGAGCCTTGTCGGCCCTCTTGGGAGCTTCTTGGGGGCCTCTTGGATCCGATTGGGGGCCTCCTGGGACTTCCCGAGAACCTCTCGGGGTAGAAAGCTCGGATTCTCGGTTCATGTTTCCCTTCTTGGGCCTCTCTTGGGGCCGTCTTGGGGCCCTCTCGGGCCGTCTTGGGCGCCTCAGGCACCGCCTTGGGGCCCTCGTGGGCCGCCCAGGGCCCTCTTGGAAGCCTCTTCGGCTATCTTGGAGCTGTCTGGGAGGCCTCTTCCTCCTCCTCGTCCCCCTCCTCCTCCTCCCACTCCAACTCTCTCTCCTCCTGATCTTCCTCCTCCTCCTGCAGCGTGTTCCGGAAGGCTCCCGCCGGAACATGCTGTGCACAAGTGCTGTCACTGCTCCCGCCACCGTGCCCTGGGTGGTGGGTCAGAGGCCTCATGGGTGTTGGTTTGGATCTCGTGGTTGGCCTGTCGGGGACGTCGTGAAGGCAGTTTCGCAGCTTCTCGGTAGCCGTTTTGGGACCGTTGTGGGGCCTCCTCGGGGCTGTTTTGTGGCCTCTTTAGGCCTCGTTTGGGCCTCCTGGGTGCCTCTTGGGGGCCTCCTGGGGCCTCTTGGGGGCTCCTTGGGGCCTCCTGGGGCACTCTTCAAGCGGGAGGGTCGAATTTTGGAGTCGTGGTCCCCCTCTTGGGCGCATCTTGGGGCCGTCTTGGGGCTCTGTTGGGCTGTCTTGGGCGACTCTGGGGCCGTCTTGGGGCCCTCTTGGGCCGTCTTGGGGCGCTCTTGGGGGCCTATTGAGCCGTCGTGGAACGTCGGACAGCCGAAAAGGCTGGAAGGCCAAAATCGTTCGAAAACCTTCGTAAACTTGACGATTTCGGCCTCTGGAAGCGCTCTGGAGAGGCGTCTTGAAGCGTCGTGGAGTGCCTTGGGGGGCCTCTCGGGCCGTCTTGGGCCTATCTTGGGCGTCCTGGAGCGGTCTTTCGGCGACTCGGGGCCCGCTTGGGCCGTCTTGGGAGCCTCTGGAGGCCCTCCTGGATTATTTTGGACCTCCCCGGCCGCCCCTCCTCCCGTGGGGGGTCGGAGGCGGCGCCTTCCGAGGCCCAGGACGCGGAACCCCCCCTTTTAAACACAAGGAAAATGAGCCCCAGTACCCCCATGGAGGCTTTTCGGCGCTCTTGGACCGATGGGAGCTCGAAAACGCGAGAAGCCAAAAACATTGAAAAGAACATTGCACATATACGATTTTGGCCTCTCTGGGCCGTACCGCGATACCTATCAGACTTCTTGGGGTCTCTTGGAGGCCACTCGGGAGCCTCGAGAGCCGTCGGAAGGCTGACTTGGGCTGCTCGGGAGCGTCTTGGGCCCTCCTGGAGCGCTGTGGAGGCTGCCCAGAAAGGCTGGGGCAGCAGTGCCGGGAGCGCCCCCGAGATGTGGCCATATCTTTTCAGCGCGTTCCAGGAGCATCTTCCCGGAACGCGCTCGTGGCAGGGCGCCCACGTCCGAGGACGTTGGCATGGGAAACCGCAGCGCGTGATCATTCCAGCGCGTTCCGGCGAAGACCGTCCGGAACGCGCTTGGGCAAGCGCTGGGTTTGAGTAAGGCGAGTGGGAACCGTTCAGGCAGTTTGGGATGCTCGGGGCAAGAGGCGGAAGCCATCCTCAGAAGACATGCGGTCTTCCTGGAGCCGTCTTGCAGAAAACCAAAAAAATTAGACCCTGCAGTCGTTCCTGGAGCCGTCTTGGAGCCCTCTTGGGCTGCCCTGGAGCCTGTTGGAGCCCTCTGCGGAATGGTCTTGGAGCCCGCGCCGAGGATCTGGAAAATGTCCGGGACCATCGCGGCGGCCTCCGAGGCCCGGGACGCCGAAACCCCGTGAAAACACAGCGAAAATGGGCCCCGGTACTCGCATGGAGGGTCGGGCAGCTGTTTTCGGGCCCCTGGGTTAGAACCATCGCGCGCGCTTCGCGCGCGCTCAGGTTCTAGCCCAGGCCGGGGGGCGCTGGACGATCTTGGACAACGCTATCAAGCACAGGCGCGCGACGGCATCTGAGGAGCTTCTGGGGTGTTCCGCATGCTTCGTCAACTGGCTGTTGGAGGCACCTCTTGGGTGCCTCTTGGGGGGGCGTCTGAGGGTCCCTTGGGGGCATCGGTTCTGCAATCTGAAGCCGTCATTGGCCGTCTTGGCTGCGTGGAGGCCCGACTTGAGGCCACCTGCGGCCAGATTGAGGCAATCCGGAAGCCTCCCAGGGGCCTCCTGGAAGCAGTTTTGACGCATCGAGGGTACTCTTGGGCTATTTGAAAGCCTCTTGGACGTCTCCTGGTGGCCTTTTAGGCCCTCGGGGAAGCTTTTGGGGTCCTCGTCGGACCACTTGGGGGCCTCTTGCGGCCTCCTGTGGGCCTTGTGGGGGGACCGCTCTGCTGTTGGGTCGCGTTCCCCTTCTTGGGCCTCTCTTGGGGCTCTTGGGGCCCTCTCGGGCCGTCTTGGGCGCCTCAAGCACCGTCTTGGGGCCCTGGCGGGCCGTCTTGGGGCCCTCTTGGAGGCCTCTTCCTCTATGTGGGAGCGGTATTGGAAGCCTCTTGGGCCGTCTTGGGGCGTCGGGATGCCAAAAGGCAGAAACAAAAACGTCAAAGCCCAATCGTAAAACAATGTGTTGTGCCTCTTGGGGCCACCTTGGGAGATCTCTTGGAACCTCGTCGGCCCTGTTGGGAGCTTCTTGGGGGCCTCTTGGATCCGATTGGGGGCCTCTTGGGACTTCCCGAGACCCTCTCGGGGTAGAAAGCTCGGATTCTCGGTTCGTGTTTCCCTTCTTGGGCCTCTCTTGGGGCCGTCTTGGGGCCCTCTCGGGCCGTCTTGGGCGCCTCAGGCACCGCCTTGGGGCCCTCGTGGGCCGCCCAGGGCCCTCTTGGAAGCCTCTTCGGCTATCTTGGAGCTGTCTGGGAGGCCTCTTCCTCCTCCTCGTCCCCCTCCTCCTCCTCCTCCCACTCCAGCTCTCTCTCCTCCTGATCTTCCTCCTCCTCCTGCAGCGTGTTCTGGAAGGCTCCCGCCGGAACATGCTGTGCACAAGTGCTGTCACTGCTGCCGCCACCGTGCCCTGGGTGGTGGGTCAGAGGCCTCATGGGTGTTGGTTTGGATCTCGTGGTTGGCCTGTCGGGGACGTCGTGAAGGCAGTTTCGCAGCTTCTCGGTAGCCGTTTTGGGACCGTTGTGGGGCCTCCTCGGGGCTGTTTTGTGGCCTCTGTAGGCCTCGTTTGGGCCTCCTGGGTGCCTCTTGGGGGCATCCTGGGGCCTCTTGGGGGCTCCTTGGGGCCTCCTGGGGCACTCTTCAAGCCGGAGGGTCGAATTTTGGAGTCTTGGTCCCCCTCTTGGGCGCATCTTGGGGCCGTCTTGGGGCTCTGTTGGGCTGTCTTGGGCGACTCTGGGGCCGTCTTGGGGCCCTCTTGGGCCGTCTTGGGGCGCTCTTGGGGGCCTATTGAGCCGAAAAGGCTGGAAGGCCAAAATCGGTCGAAAACCTTCGTAAAATTGACGATTTCGGCCTCTGGAAGCGCTCTGGAGAGGCGTCTTGAAGCGTCGTGGAGTGCCTTGGGGCGCCTCTCGGGCCGTCTTGGGCCTATCTTGGGCGTCCTGGAGCGGTCTTTCGGCGACTCGGGGCCCGCTTGGGCCGTCTTGGGAGCCTCTGGAGGCCCTCCTGGCCCATGGGGGGTCGGAGGCGGCGGCCTCCGAGGCCCAGGACGCGGAAACCTTGTAAACACACAGGGGAAATGAGCCCCGGTCCCGCCATGGGGGGTGGGGGCACCTGTCCTGGGGCCCCCGGCCTCGCCACCAGGGATATATATATATATATATATATATATATATATATATATATATATATATATAATATACATGTATATGTATGTATGTATATATGTATGTATGTATGCATGCATGCATGCATGCATGTCTGTCTGTCTGTCTGTCTGTCTGTCTGTCTGTCTGTCTGTCTGCCTGTCTGTCTGTCTGTCTGTCTGTCTGTCCGTCTGTCTGTCTGTCTGCCTGTCTGTGTGTATGTATGTATGTATGTATGTATGTATGTATGTATGTATATATATACATGTGTGTAGGTATGTATGTATGTGTGTATGGATGGATGTATGGATGCATGCATGTGTGTATGTGTGTGTATGTATATATGTATGTATACATGTCTGTGTATATATATATATATTGATATGTATGTATGTATGTATATCTATGTGTATGTATGTATGTATGTATGTATGTATGTATGTATGTATGTATGCATGCATGCATGCATGCATGCATTCATGCATGTATGTATGTATGTATGTATGTATGTGTATATTAGTATGTATGTATGTATGTTACATATAATTATGTGTGTGCATATGGAGGTTTACGATGGCTCGTGCTTGGCGCGAACGCCACAACCTTCCTATATGGTGTATGCCTGGAAATGCCATGTAGGCCAGCTTGATCTTCTGACAGTCTTCCAGATTTGTTCTTCAGCTTGCCTTCGATGCGCATTATCATGTCTGGTGACTTGTCTTCAAAGCGTCTCCTGGCTTTGCCTGCATTGCGCTGACAATGAGCTCTCCGTGGGAGGTAGAAAACAAAGATGTTCAATGGGATATCACCCCCGTCCGCCCCTTCCTCCCTCCTCCACTCCCCCTCCCGCTATGCTCCTCGTCCCTCCCTCCTCCCCTTCTACCTCTCACTCTCCCTTCCCTCCCCTCTCCTGGCGTCGTGACCCTTCCACAATGCAGACCCCGATTGGCCTGAACCCCTTCGACACGACCAACTCTGCGCCCCGAGCCGTTTGTTGACGGCCCGGGGGATCGGCAACGGCCCCTGGAGGCAGGGGGCTGCCCCCACCCCTCCGTCCAGACTCTTCTCGCGACGCGGGGAGTTCTGGGCCCTCCTGCGAGGGGGCGGGGAGGCTGCCTGGCTTCGAGGTTGCTGGGTATGTCGGTGTCGATGCCATCGATGCCCTGGTACTTGTGGTGCTCCTGGGGGCGGCCACCAGCACACGCGCTGGGCGCTGAGCTCCTACTGCTTTTCCTCCCCCTCCTCCTGCGTTCTCGGTAATTGCTGCGCTCTTCCTCCTGCCTCACGCCTGCTTCTCCCTCGCTGCGCCCTCCCTCCCTCCTCCCTCCCTCCCTCCACTTTCTGACCCCGCCCGCATTCCCCTCCCACTTCATCCTCCTGCCCCCTCCCCCTCCCACCTCTACCTTCTCCCCCCCTTCTCCTCCTCTTCCTATTCCTCCTCGCCCCTCCGCCTTCCTCCTCGCCCTCCTCCGCGAGGCAAAGGGGAATGAAGAGGAGGCTGCAGGGTCTGGGTCACATAACTTCGCGCATCGTGCCCGGCGCCCCGCGACGGGCAATTGTGTTCGTACCCCCGCGGGTGACCTAAAGGATGCCTAAGAGGAGGATGCCTAAGATAAGAGGTGGGCGTGAGAAACAATTGCTTTCGTCTGCAATTGACAATCTTGCATTCGCGCCTCCCCTCCCCATCCTCCCTGTCGCCCTACTCCTGCTGCCGAAAAAGAGGATGACGACGAAGACGGCGTGAACAGCCGGAACGAATGGCAGCGCAACTATCCACAAACAGCCGATCTCGAAGTTGTCTAAGCAGTGGGGGAGCGGCGCCAACAACGAGAAAACGACGGCTCGGCGACGCAAGCCCGAATCCCACGAGCTCACGCCACAAGGCGTTCGCACAGAAACGCACGAGACCAAATAAAAGAACGAACACATCGCCCAGCTCCAGGTGGTAGCCCCGGAACGGGACGCAGTACGGGATGCCGATCGGCAGGTTGGCCAGCATCGAGAAGAGCCTAGGCGGGGCGAGCGCTCTCCCTGTTCCTCGTCCTGCTCCACCTGGTGCTGGTGGTGGCGGCCTTTTTGGCTGTCCTTGGAACTGCAGCCATCGTCCCCTCTTTATGCTCGCGCCAGCCTGGTGCGCAAGGAGGGGACATGTTGAAAACGGGTTCACCTCCTCCTCCTCCTCCTCCTCCTCCTCCTCCCTCTTCTCCTCCTTCTCCTCCTGTTCCGTCCCCTCTCGGGCGCACGCATCCGTGGTTCTGGCGCGTGGGCGCCACATTGACGGATCGCGCCGATTCTGCGTGGAAGCGGGGCCCGCCGCCAGTCCTCCGTCACTCACCTCCATCACCGCCACCATCGCCGCCACCACCACAGCATCACCACAGCATCCGTCACCACCGCCACCATTCCCACAACACCAACATCAACTCTACCGCTTCTACCACCACCTCCATCGAACGCCGTGGCGTCACTCCTACCTTGTGTGTTCGCTTTCCCCGCCACCGTGGATATTCCGACAATGATGATGACATCACCGTCGCCACCTTTATCAATGCAATACGCGCGTTCAAATCTTACCCCCTCAATCTTACACATTCTATGCCTGAGCCTGCAGCCAATCGGTCATCCCATCGCTGTATCATTTAATACATGTCTCTTCACTCGAAGCCTCTCCTCTAGAAGTCCGCAGAAGCCTCCGAACATCTCCAGAGGTGCCCAAAAACCTCTGGGCCTCTCTGAAAGCACCTGCTAGCCAAATTACCTCCAACGCTCCAATCTTTTGTCCGTCTCTTCATTCCCTATCTAGGCTCTGCCTAGAAGGGTTCTTACTCTATGTGCTTAAAGGGGCGGGCAATGTTCCCCGCCCCGGGCGGTTCCCCCGGCATCCGCCCCGCGGTTCCCCCAGGATCCCTCGCTTTCCCTAGCCTAGCTTAGCTTAGCTTAGCTTAGGTTAGCTAGGCTTAGCTTAGCTTAGCTTAGCGGCTTGGCTTGGCTTGGCTTGGCTTGGCTTAGCTTAGCCTAGCCTAGCTTAGCTTAGCATAGCTTAGCTTACCTTAGCTTAGCGCAGCATTAGCACAGCATAGCATAGCATTTGCCAAGCATATCACAGCATAGCTCAGCATAGCATAGCATAGCGCAGCATAGCATACCATATCATATAATAGCACAGCACACCAGAGCATATCACAGCATAGCACAACGCAGCATAGCATAGCACAGCACAGCAAAGCGCAGCATAGCATAGCACAGCGTAACATAGCGCAGCATAGCATAGCAACGCATAGCACAGCGAAGCATAGCTTAGCTTACCTTACCTTACCTTAGTCCAGCATAGCGCAGCGCAGCATTAGCACAGCACAGCACAGCACAGCCAAGCATAGCATAGCATAGCATAGCATGCAAAACAACAGCAAAACCAATGCGAGCGTGTAGATGTAGATGTAGATGTAGGTGTAGGTGCAGGTGTACATGTGGATGTAGGTGTAGATGTAGATGTAGTTGTAAATGTAGGTGTGGATGTAGATGTAGATTGGAGTCTCGCTGTCGATGTTGATATTGATGTAGATGCAGGTGTAGATGTTAATGTAGCTGCCGGTGTAGATGTAGATGTTGCTTTCCTAGATGCTCCAACTGCTAGGTAGGGTCGCACTGGGATAATTGCCACTCTTGTTTATGATCCTTGTCCGCTTTCCTCTTCTTCCCATTTCCGCCCTCTGCCCCTCCTCCTTCTCCTGCTCCCCCCTCGCTCCCTTCCTCTCCTACCTCCTCGTCGTTCTCCTGCTCCTCTTCCACCCTTGCGTGTGCCCTGGGGCCCTCGGGTCCGTGGAGGGCCCCGAAGCGGGCGGACCGCGCGCGGCCCCCGCGCCGCTTCGCCTCCTCTGCCTCCCTCCGCCGTCGCCGCTCCTCCACGCCCCCTGCGTCCTCCTCCTCCTCCTCCTCCTCCTGCTCTTCCTTTTCCTGCGATCTCGCTCATTGCTGCGCTCTCCTTCCTGCCTCGCGTCTTCTTCTCCCTCGCTGCGTCCTCCTCCTCCCGCTCCTCCTCCTTCTCCGCGTCGTCCTCCTCTTCCTCCTCGTCGTCCTCCTCCTCCTCCTCCTCCTCCTCCTCCTCCCCTGGCCCGTCCGCGCCAGCGCCAGCGCCCCTCCTCGGGCCCCTCGGCCGCCTCCTGATCGCTGCTCTGTGCGCTCTCAAAGCCGGGTAGCGCCGGCCTTTCGGCCTGCTGCACGCGGCTCTCTGTCTTCGACCTCTGGCTCCTCCTCGCCTCCCCCTCCTCCTCCTCCTCCTCCTCCTCCTCCTCCTCCTGCTCTTCCTGCTCTTCCTCCTCCTCCTCCTCCTCCTCCTCTTCCTCCTCCTCCTCTTCCTGCTCTTCTTCCTCCTCCTCCTCTTCTTCCTCGCCTTTGCGTCGTCGCTCCCCGACTTGGGGCTGGCCGCCTCCTCTTCCTCCCTCTTCGTCATATGGCTCCCCCCCGCCCCCTGTCCTCTGCCTCCTCCTCCTCCTCCGCCTCCTCCTCTGGCTTCGGCCTCCTCCAGCCCTCCTTCTCCTCCTCCTCCTCCTCCTCCTCCTCCTCCTCCTTCCTCCTCCTCGGCAGTCCGCGTCTGGGGGCGGGCTTCCTTATCCTTCTTCTTCTTCTGCTTCTTCTTCTTCTCCTATTTTGATGTTTCCGATTCATCGTCGCCTTTGGCACCCTATCTACCTGCTGCCAGCCAGGGCCATGGAGTCTGGCAGTGTGAAGGCGCAGGCTACGCGCCACGCCACAGCATGTTATAGAGCAGCGCTGGTTTCCTGCCAGAGGGCAGTGGCCAGAACAGGTGCTTCGGCGTCGCCGCCCGCCATGAGTGCAAACGCGCTGATGGCGGCTAGGGAACTCTCGTCTGCCCGGCCGCCAATCTCGAACGCACGCGGAGTCACGTTGCCGGCGGCGCTCCTCGCGGCCAGCGGCACTGCGCACCCTGGCAGGGTCAAAGTCGGCGCCGACATTTGGCAATGTCCAAAGCCACCCGTCTGCCTTCGCTACCACGTCGAGCATGTCGCCTGGCAAGTCGCCGGCATCGGCGTCCTCCAGCATGCCCGCCCAGGCTCTCCAAACGCTGTTACTTGAGCGTTCAGGGGTCGATGTTATTCGCGGCGAAGCGAAATGGGATGACCCGCGCCTCGTTGTGGCCTCCAGCAACGCCACCGCCCACCTTGCAGCCTTCCGCGCGGACGAGGCGAACGGTCCATCCCAGCAGCGCCCCGCATGCACCCTGGCGCCTGGTGTGCTGACAGTGCCTCTCCGCTGTCACATGAGAGATGATCTGATTTGTGGTGCACAAAAGGCGTTTGTGCGTCGCGCACATCCATTTTTGGGGCACGCGAAGAGAACTGCCCGCTCCCGGGCCGCCGCCTTGGCGCGGCCGGCCTTTGGGCACCTCCTCTGGGAGCTGGTTGAGAAGGTCCGCCCGCAGCACAAACATCGCGGCGTCCGCCAGCTCCCGCTGCAGGTGCTTCGGCTTTCCTGCGTGAAGTCCAGATTCGGGTCCTCGTGCCGAATAAGAGGCGACAACTATATGAACCCCGCACGCGCCCTCCGCAAGTCCGCCGCCAAAGCTGGAAAGCCAACTTCGAGACGGGCATCGGCGTAAACGGGAGCTCCGCTGCCTTGCCTCCACAGCTGGTGTCGCCACCCAGCGAACAAGGCTGCCGCGGCGCGCGGGGTAGCCCGGCCAAAGGCCGCTCCATCGTCTCGAAGGTGTAATTTGCCCAATTGGCGCTGCTGCGGCGTCAGGTTCACGCCGATGCGGCCCTCCCATGCCTCCGCAAGCGCCTGGTCGTGGTGAGCCAGGGCGCCAGCACTCCATAGGCGCAAGCGCAAGAGGTGCATCGGCGCCCCGATATTGACGTAAGGCAACACGGCGCCCGCAACCTGGCATCAGAGACCCTTCTCCCGCGCTTGCTTGCGGCTGGCCGCGGTGGTCTTCCTCCTCCTCCTCCTCCTCCTCCTCCTGCTCCTCCTCCTCCTCCGCTTCCTCCTTCCCCTCTTCCCTCCTCCTCCTCCTGCTCCTCCTCCAGCCGCCTATACGGGAATTCCAACGTGCAGGATGGAGCATTGCTGTCCTCGACCCGCGATCAAGCACCCCGCTCTGCTCCATCCATGCGCCTGTTCCAGCATCCCTGCCGCAGTCCTCGGCGCGGCTTTCGTGTCCCAGATCGCTGACCGCCCCTGCCAAGTCCACGCCGACTTCATGGGAATCATCAAGCTGGGCAACACGGGAAAAGTGCAGCAGCTCGCCAGCAAGACGCCCTACGCGTGCGTAGCCCGATTCACGCAGTCGCTCGAGGGCTTTTCCAGCACATCCAACAATACCACCATGTGAAGGCGCACAGGTCGGGCTCTGACTACGAGGCGATGGACTACGAGCAGCGATGACTCACTGATGCCAACATAGTTGCTGATGTGTGGGCAAAGACGGCGACATCCATGTACCCGAGGCCGGATGATGACATGATCGACGCCATGGAGACGGCCGTGAGCAGGGTAGGCAAAGTAGCACGACTGGTGGCGAACGTCATGCCGATCTTCGATAAGGACGACCAACTGAGGTGGACGAGGCAAACCCCAGCACATCGGCGTGCGGCTAGCACGCGTAAACCTACCTGGCATCAATGGCATGATGGCGTGCTCGGGGTACAGTGCCGTGCTTGCCTACAACTGCATGTACCAAGAGCCCCACTCCCACTGACGGGGTGCGGGAGCACCCCAAGCTTCCTCAAGGAGTTCCAGCTCAACCAGCTAAGTCACAAGCTAGTGGCGGTCAACCAGTGCGGGACACTGCTTGGAGACAGCATCGAGAGCGTCAAGACTGTCTTCATCTGCGTAAGGTGTGGAGCCTGGGTGCAGCAACGGCGTCGTCTCAAACAGCGACTTCCCTGCGTGGTGGCCGCAATCAAGGGCCTGGAGGTCTTTCAGAATCTCAAGAAGGGCGCAGGACCGCACAACACATTGCAGAAGTTCATCGACTCCACCTCCCCGCTCAAGAGAGTCAGGACCGACACGGCCACCAGCTGCACTTACACGAAGGTCGACATCCTCAAGGACGGCAACATGGTGCAGGAGGACCACCACGCATTCGAGCACAGGATGGCGGCCTTGCACCAGCGGGTACGTGAGCGAGAGAGTCAACTGCGTGCTGCACGTGAAGAAGGCAACACCATGCTCGGACATCTGAACTGCACACGGCACCTGCAGGATCAACACGCAAGCACGTTCGCGAAGGTGATGGTGCCCTCCAGCGAGAGGTACTGGAAGAGACGAGCGCCCACCACGCTCTGCGGCACAGCCGTGAGAGCCTACCAAAGGTGCAGCCCATGGGCAGCCAGCGCGATGACAACGGGGAACAGCGGGACTCCAACCGACAGGGCACCTCCCTGCCAAGGACGGAAGCCGACTGACGAAGGTGATGGTGCCCTCCAGCGAGAGGCGCTGGAAGAGACGAGCGCCCACCACGTTCTGCGGCACAGCCGTGAGAGCCTACCAAAGGTGCAGCCCATGGGCAGCCAGCGCGATGACAACGGGGAACAGCGGGACTCCCTCGACAGGGCACCTCCCTGCCAAGGACGGAAGCCGAGTGACGAAGGTGGGCTGGCGGATGCTGCCCTCAATGATGCCCCTTACCCAAGGGGCGCGCCTTCTGAGGCTACGGATCCCGTTCCCGCTGGCTGGGGGTGTCAACGCGAACACCTATACCTGGACAAGGCGCGCCTCTGGCAAAGGGGGCTGGAGGGCGCGGGGGGACGCAGGAGATTCAGCCTCCGCTCCCCCACCGCTGGCGCAAGAGGCAATGCCGCAGCCTCTGCGCGGGCAAGAAGACAGGCAACGACCAGGAGACTCACTTCGAGCAGTGGGAAGGATCTCGCTGAGAGTCCTGGTGGGGCTTTGCGACTCGTTGGCGGAGAGGGAGTACCAGTTAGCTTGATGCGAAGTCCCTGCGGCCTCAGGCCTTCCTGGAGCTGTCGCACTGCCGAACACTCAGGAGGGGCTCGGGGAGGCACGCCAGAGCGGGCCCCGAGTTCGGGCGGAGCCAAGGTGCTCGCGGCCCGAGCGGCAAGGCCAGGAGCACAGTGGCGCCGGCGCGGCACCCACGTGCTCAGGAGGGGCCTCCTGCAGCGGGCCCATGGGGGCGGGGGGCACAAGTGGTGCTTCCTCGCGAAATAAACAGGAAGAGCCACCCCGCCCCCCACCAGCGGCCGCGCAGGAGGCGAGAGGCCCCAGATGCCCAGATGGACATCGCCAGGGGGATGGAGTTCAAGAGGCTCGTCGCCATGGCGGCGGGGAGCTCGAGGGCGAGGCGTTCAACGTCGTGAGGCCCCTCGGCGAGGTCGTGCCCCTCATGCGAGCAGGGGGCTGGGCGGGCGCCCGACCCTCGACCTCCGAGGCCCGCGATATCGATATCCTGCTCCTCCGCCTCCTCAGCCCTCTCCTCCTCCTCTCCTCCTCCCCCCCCCCTCGATTTGCTCATCCTCCTCATTCTCCATTCTCGTCATCCCTCTTCCTGTGTTGCACACTGCCTGTGTGCTGAACGGACCGTCTGTTGCGCGGCGTTGCGCGCTCCCTACGGAGCCCGCTCGGTCGAAATTACATGAGAGCACGAGGAAGGGCGACGGTCGACGTAGACTAAGCTCGGGTTTTTCTTGAAAAAGAAACTCGTGGATGCGTGCCACCTGGCCCCTGTTCCGGAAGAGGGACATGCGGGTGGGTGGGTGCTGTATTCTAATCCTGCTCAGGCCAAATGCCCCACCTGGTCGAAGAAATTCCAAGGCCCTGGTCTGCAGAGCACACGGAAGCTTGGGTCAGGGGCCGACCGACTCGTTACTGAGCGGAGTTGGGCGCCGAATGCGCGGCGAACGGCCGACCTGAATTGTTCGATTGCGGCGAGAGCGCCGTGAGACCAGCGAGCAGGCCACGCCGGCTTGTCGGATCGCTGCCACGTTTTTCATTCCTTTTCCGAGGAGTTGCTCTGGCTGCGTCGTGCCGAGGCAAGTTGCGAGCGCCCAGTGCCCCTTGGGTGGCGTGGCAACTCCGCGTCGAACTGGCGGGGCTGCGGTGGTTTCCTTGGCATTCGTGTTGGCGCGGGCCGCCAGTCGGTGTCAGGCGATGCTGGGCAGCGTCCCTTTTCAACTAGTCCAACTTGTCATCCTCCGTCTTTCTCCCTCCTCAATCTGTTTGCTTCAACATCCCTTCTGTCCAGTTCTCTTCTCTTTCCTCCTCCGCCTCCCTTCTCACTTACCCTCTTACTTCCTCGCTGTTCGCTCCTCCCTCCACTCTGCTCCCTCCTGTGTCCTCTCTCCCTCCGCTGTCCCTCCTCCTCCTCCTCCTCCTCCTCCTCCTCCTCCTCCTCCTCCTCCCCCTCCGTAGCCATTTTGGCTCAAGATGCCTAGTTCCACAGTGGAACAAGTGGATACCGCTAGTCCGCGGCCAGTGCCAGGGCTCTTGAGCCCGACAGCCCCTTCTCGATCCCAAGAGCAGACTGCAGCACCATGGCTGGCGCCGGCCGAAAGGAACGCCAGGACTGGGCTTGCAGGAGCTGTACGACGAAGCGCGGCAAGCCGCTCATCAACTTCGGGACCTCGCTCAAGTGCCAAGGGTGCAGGCTCCACAAGAAGGACGTGTACGGCGGGCCTGTGCCGCCGAAGGAGCCCTCGATGCGGGCCCCAGCCAAGGGCAAGAAGCGGGCCCCGTGGACGGCCGAGGGCAAGCTCGAGGGCGAGCTCGCGGCCATGCGGGCGGAGCTCGACGCTGCCAGGAAGAAGCTTCGTACGCAGGAGTCCGACCAGGGCGGGGCCGCGGCCATGCACGTGGACGACGGCAAGTCAGGCGAGGACGCCTCGGCTGCGAGCGAGATCAAGGTGTGCGAGGCAGGCCTGGCCACGCTCAAGGACGTGCAGCACGACTGGGCCACGGGCCCGCGGGAGGATCTCAAGCGCAGGCTCGCCGCCGCCAAGGACAGGCTCTTCGCCGCCAAGCCGCTCCACGCGCGGGTGCAGGCGCTGGCCCACAGGCAGAAGAATCTGGCGGACAAACTCAGCAAGATGGAGCTGGCCGAGCGCGAGGCGGAGGACCGTGTCAAGAAGGCGCAAGACGAGCTGGAGCTCAAGCGGCATGGTGTCAGAGAGCTCAAGGCGCAGCAGGTGGCCCTCCAGGCGGAGCAGTCGGCACTCCAGCAGCAGGTCCCAGTCGCGCCAGAGGATCGTCCGCCTGGGCAGTCCATGGAGCACGACGTCATCAAGAACACGGGCGGCCTCACCCTCGGCGACCTGGCGCAGGCTCTCAGCGGTGCTCTGGCCGCTCACCCCGACGACACCATGCAGACCGCGGGCGATTTGCCGCAGCGGCTGGCCTCGGCGCTCGGCGGGCCCCTCCAGGAGCTCATGCTGCGGCGGCAGCGCGAGCGGGCCGCCGCCACGGAGGCAGCGAGCGCCCCTCGCACCCCTGCAGCGTCCGTCGAGGGAGACGACGCCGCCGCCGCCGCGCATGGCGCAGGCACTGCAGGCGGCGCCGCCCCTGCAGCCGCAGCGCCGCGCTGGGATCCCGCCGCGATGGAGCCCGAGAAGCTGCGGCAGACCATGGCGGAGTTCTCGCCAGGGCCAGCAGAGGAGACCAGCGACGCCATGCTGGCGCGCGCCACGGAGCTGGCCGTCAGGGGCTTCAATCCTTACTAAGCTCATCATCGCGATGTCCTGCACACTTGCGATGGCGAAAGGCACTATCACTACCAGCAACGTGACTTCCCGGGGTTCATTGGCGCCGTGCCTAGAGACCCTCGAGTCGCACGTCGTTCTCGTCCAGGAGCATCACCGACGGGACGAGGCGAAGCTCGCCGACCTGCAGCACGAGGTGCTGGATCACGGGTTCGCGGGCATCTGGGCGCCAGCAGTGGCAGGCCCCACCTCCGCGGAGGGCACTACGGGCGGCGTCGCGGTCTTGGCCCGCAAGAACATCCCCGTCACGGCCCCGCCGCTGCTGCCCTCGGCGACACTGTGGCCAGGGCGACTGGTGGCCGCCCACGTGCACTGGGGAGTCCGTGGCGGCATTGTCTTCGTGTCGGCCTACCTGGTCGACAGCGTTGGCATGAACGACGTGAACCGAAGCATCTTCGGCGCGCTCACTCGCTACCTCACGAAGCTCACGGCCTCGGGCATCGATTGGATCGTCGGCGGCGACTTCAATGGGCCTCCCAGCTGCCTGCCCCTGGCGCAGTTGGAAAAGGCGGGGGGCCTCTGGCTAGCGCCGTCGGCCGACACCTGCCGCCCACAGGCGGGCAGCGGCTCGGTGCTGGACTACTTTCTGGTCGGTGCAAACCTGGCCAGCCGCATCTCGGCTCCGAGAGTGGATGAGTTGGGCATCACCTCCCCGCACCTCCCTGTCAACATGGAGCTGCGTGCCGCCGACCTGGACATGCGCGTGAGGATCCCGATCGCCCCCAGGGCGATTCCAGCGGTGCCGCCCATCGGCTGCAGCCGCGGTGTCGAGGACTGGGCGCCCACTTTGGCCCAGGTGCGCGCCACAACCAGCGCCGAGGAGCTGCCAGCAGCCTGGGACGCCGTCGTCAGCACCTTGGAGCAGGAGCTGTTGGACCGCTACGACCAGGTTGGCGAAGCGCGCAGGCGGTTCGAAGGACGTGCGGGGCCCATTGCGACCAAGCTGGCGCCAGTCAAGTGGAAGCCGCAAGGGCAGCGTGTCCGATTGGGGCCTGATGTCATCGCGGCCAAGGTCGCGGGCCGATGGGCGCGTCACTTCATGGGGGTCAGCGCGTTCCTCGCGAAGGCCAGCAGGAGGCTGCAAACCGCCAGCCTGCAGTGCTCCCTTGTCCCTGAGCAGTACCACGAGCTGGCGGACTTCGTCGCGAGGGCTTTGGAGTATGGGCGCGTGGTTATGGACAGCAAGAAGACGCTGGCACTGCTCCCGCATTGGGTGAGGTCCTTCTTCGAGCAGGGCTTTCGCGTGATCGGCAACACCGACTTCCTGGAGCAGGCGGGCCGCATCGTCCAGTTCGCCAAGGACGCCCACGCGGACGCGCTCAAGGTCAGGCAGCAGAGCTGGATCCAGTGGGCCAACGACAGCCTGCGGAACGGCGCTGGCAAGGCGCACCGCTTCACCAAGCTGCGGGCGATGCAGGAGGTGCTGGCGCAATGGCAGGGCACCCACACCGAGCTCACCACTGGGCGGCTCGCCCAGACCTTCGTCCCGCAGCAGCAGGTCGCCAGCCAGCACCTGATCTGCGACCGGGAGATGAAGGCCTGGGAGGACGTCTGGTCGTGCCACAAGCTCGAGGCGCTGGAAAGGCCAGCTGACTTCGACGAATGGGACGACCTCGAAGACCTCACCGTGGAGGCGCTGCAGCGGGCCGCCTGCAGCTTCCCCACCACCACGGCGCTCGGCCCAGCGCAGATCGGCATGCGCGCGCTCACCTTTCTCACGGACGACGGCGTTTACACCTGCGGCCAGCTCTTCATGAAGTGCGAGGCGCTGGGGGCTTGGCCCAGCGAAAGGCTGTGGCACGCTATGTGCCGCATCCCCAAGGCCTCTGGCGGCTGCAGGCTGATCACGCTGATGCACTCGCTAATCCGATGGTGGTCGAGGGCTCGTGCCTCGACGTCCAAGGCGTGGCTGACGGCGCACCCCAATGCCAGTATTTGGGGCATGGGCGGCGGCAGATCTTCCTCCGACTCCGCCTTCGACCTCAACCTTGAGACGGAGGTATCGGACTGCCTGGACGAGCACGTCGTAATCGTCATGCTGGACGCCTGGAAGTTCTTTGAGACGATTAAGCCCGAGTGGCTACTCATCGAGGCGCGGCTGCTGGGCATGCCGCTGCGGTTGGTCTGGATGTTGATTGAGCTATACAGGCAGCCGAGGCGGCTGCAAGCTTTCGGCTCGGTGTCCTACGCGGTCGTGTCACATCAGGGCGTGCTCGCAGGATGCACTCACGCCTGTGCCATGGTCACCTTGCTCATGTTCAGGCTGCTCGAGCAGGTGCGAGATGCAGGCGTCACCCCGAGGGCCCTCATCGACGACGTCACCTTGCAGTGGCGCGGGAGGCGGCTCTCGCAACTGGGCGTGCTTTGGGCGGCCACCACCAGGTTCCGCGAGGGCGCCCAGGAGCGAGGCATTGTCGTGCAGCCCACCAAGTCGGGCTACTTGGTCTCATCGGACGCGGCTGCTCGCGAGTGTGCCCGACACGCGGCGGCCCGCAAGCTGACCAAGATGCGCTGGGCCCGCAACCTGGGGCACGATCTGGGCGGGCGCAGAATCGCTAGGCTCCAGACGGCAAAGCGGGTGCGGCAGCTCAAGGAGCGGCGCGGCAAGTTGGCAGCTTTCAAAGGGGCAGTGGGCAGGCGCGCTACCTGCCTGTGGAAGACGGGCCTCATGCCGAGTGCGGCGCACGGTGCTGGGGTGTCAGGGCTCACCGACGATGCGCTGCAGGTGCTGAGGGCCGAGGCTGGCAGGCTTGCAGGGGCTCGGCCAGGTGCATCGAGCGTCACGGTGTATTTAGCCACGCAGAAGGCGCGCGAGTACGACCCCATCTACGGCGCCACCTGCGACATCGTTTGCCGATACGCCAGCTGGATCTGGGAACAACGCACCTCCCTGGCTAGGCTCCACAGGGCCTGGGCCAAGGTCACGGAGCGGCTCGTGGGGCGCCCGTCCTGGGCAGGGGCTCGCGGTCCCATCGCCTCCGTCACGCTGACGCTCTGGCGCATCGGATGGCACATGTACTCCAGCACGACCCTGGTCACCGACCAGGATACGGCGATCAACCTCCTCACCACGTGCCCGAAGGACGTCAGGATGCATCTGACCGGCGGCGTGCAACGCTGGCAGGCGAGGCAGATCGCGGCGCACCACCGCCAGCACGGCGAGGTCAAGCCTTGGGTGCGGGCCATGCGGCTCTGCGTGGGCGACGGGCGCGCGGCGTTGGCGGAGGGCCCGTCGGCCGCCAGCCTGCGTCACCACTGGGCGACGGTGGCCTGGACGCAACAGGCCCAGCGCGACCTTGGGCTGGCGGCGGCGCCGAATTGCAGGGCCTGCGGACATCCGTCCGACTCGCCTGGGCACAGATTTTTCGGCTGCGAGGTACTCGTGCAGCCGCTCACAGAGGAGGAGCAGGACGAGCAGCTGCCGCCCGAGCCGATGCAGGCCATCCGCACCTTCATGTGCGACAAAGGCCTGCAGGAGGGCGGCAGCTTCGAGAGCGCCGACTTCCAAATGTGCTTGCCCTGCATGCCGCCATTCGTGCCGCCCGCCGCGGAGCAGGCCGAGGTGAAGTTCTGGGGCTGCTGGCCTAGCCAAGGGGCGGACACGGCTTCCTGCAGCAACGCCGTCTTCACCGATGGCTCAGGCTTCGCGTCCAGCATGCCCGAGCTGAGGCGCTGCGGATGGGCCTTCGTGCAGCTTTCCCTCCAGGGACTGCCTGTTCGGGCGGCGTTCGGGGCGCTGCCAGGGCCGCTCCAGACGGTCGGGCGCGCGGAGAGGCACGCGCTGCTGCAGGCATTGCGGCTCGCGGGGCCGCAGCTCGAGTTCGTCTTCACCGACCTTCTGTCGATGGAGAAGGAATGCAGCCACTGGGGGCAGGAGCTAGAGGAGGCGCGAGCGGCACATGCCACAGTGTGGAGACGGATTCGTGCCCAGCCAGCGCGGCCTGAAGTGAGATGGATCCCCGCGCATCAGGACATGGATGCGTACTTGGACCGAGGCCTCCACCCGCTGCTGTACTCTGGCAACATGTGGGCCGACTGGTTCGCTCGGCAAGGAGCCATGCAGCACACCGTGTCGAAGGTGTACGAGGAGTTCTACAACATCGAGCTGCAACACTACAAGAGCCTGGCAAAGTACGTCGGCTGGGCGATGCAGAGGACGATGCACGCAGGCCGCTGGGATGCGCCCGAGCAGACAGCCCGCCCGCCAAAGGTGCCCAAGGTGCAGGCGGCGACTGTGATCAGCCACTCCCTGGTTCGCCTGAACGGGACGGCGGTGGTGCTGTGCCGCGCTTGCTGCAGGCAGACCAGCGGGCAGACGGGGCCCACATGGACGCAGTTCGCGCGTTCAGCTTGCGAGGCCAGCCAGTACACCGCGCTGCGGGCCGAGGCCATCATCGCGCACGTCGGCGCGCAGCCCATTGTGGTCTCGGAGGCGGGCGAGTTCGCTATGCAGGCGATCGAGCGCGCGGCGTGCCCCGAAGATGCGGGGCCCAGGCCAGCCGAGCCTGCCCCCTGGGGCTCAGGGGACGGCACCATCGAGATGCAGGGGCACAGGCTGAGGCGCGCAGGGCCCACCATCTACTGCGAGGTATGCGTGGCGTGGGCGGCGACAGGCTCCTCACTGGCCCTGGCTGCGCCCTGCGCTGGCCCGCCCAGCGCCGAGGGCAAGAACCAGCGCACCTACCTGTCCAACCTCAGGGCGCGGCTCAAGAAGCTCAGCCAAGGGCTGCACCCCAAGACAGGAAAGGTGCTCACTTGGGGAGGTGCAGGCGAGGCTCCAGACGGCCCCAGAACATGGGCCACAGCGGCGGCCAGCGCGGCCGCGGGCGACATGGCCTCTGGGGGCGACGGCGCTGCAGAGCGGCCAAGCGGCAGGCACGCGCAGAAGGAACAGGGCGAGGCGACCAGGCCTGGCCAGGACCACGAGACGCGCGAGGTGCCTGCAGGGGCTGGAGGTTCCGACGCAGTCCAGACCAAGAAGCCTGCTTGGCGGGTGCGACGGCAGGAGCTCCTGGAACGGATGCAGCGAAGGCAGCAGCATCTGCTAGCCGAACGTGGTCCAGCAGCCGCCAGCGGCGCGCAGCGTGATGAGGGAGACATGGCCGACGGCAGCTTGCCCTCGGCCTATGGAGCGCACCAATGCCCCGACGGGGGCACCACTGGACTGGTGACGCTCCAGCCGCCGCCAGCTGCCCCAGACGTGGGGGTGGTCGATGCCTGTCTGGCGGCGGGGCCGTCGCGGCTGCCTGCGCCCTTGAGGTGTGACCTGGCACACGAGGTGACGCTGACCACGGACCACCAGGAGGGCGCCGTGACCAGCCCTCAGGACATGAGCAGCCCGCCGCAGCCGTTCTCGACTACCGATATGGCCAGCACCAGGGGTGGCAGGGGACCTGCAAAGTGCGGTCGCGAATGCGGCCCCGCCCTGAGTGCTGGCAGGTCTGACAACTCGCAGCGGGCGCTGCCAGGCATGGCCAGTGACAAGGGTGGCAGGAGGCCTGCAAGCCGCGACCCTGAGTGCGGCCCCACCTTGGGCACTGGCGGCGACGGCAGCCAGGCCCACCGCGTGCGGCGACGATTTACGGCCTGGGCCAGGGGTGGCAGGGGACCTGCAATGTGCGTGCGTGAGTGCGGCCCCGCCCTGAGCCCAGGATGCGACGAGGACCGCGACGGCAAGGGTATGGCCAGCGCCAGGGGTGGCAGGGGACCTGCAAAGTGCAGTCCTGTGTGCGGCCCCGCCCTGGGCACTGGCAGCGGGTCTCTGGAAGCGGCGTCGCCTGAGGAGGACCAGCGGCAGCCGCAGCTGGCTTCTGGGGAGGCGTGTCCACGTGCAGCTACGGCTGGTGCCAGGGGTGGCAGGGGACCTGCAGTTTGCGGTCCTGAGTGCGGCCCCGCCCTGAGCACCAGCACCCACCCCGAGCGGCGACGGATTACGGCCTGGGCCAGGGGTGGCAGGGGACCTGCAATGTGCGTGCGTGAGTGCGGCCCCGCCCTGAGCCCAGGAAGCGACGCGGACCGCGACGGCATGTGCATGGCCAGCACCAGGGGTGGCAGGGGACCTGCAAGTGCCGACCGTGTGTGCGGCCCCGCCCTGAGTGCTGGCAGAGTTGCGGTGGCTCGGCCTGAGCCAGCGCAGCCGAGGCGCAGCGTCGCGCCCAGGCTTGAGCTGCAGGTCGCTGGATGGGCGCGGTACTGGACCCAGGCTCCCGAGGTCGGCGAGACGATGGAGTGCTACAGCGAGTGGCTCGACCACTGCGTCGGCTACGTCACGCAGATCCTGTCCCAGCCGCGCTTCGCCACCAGGCTGCGGGCGCGTGGGAGGACGGCCGAGGAGATGGCCGAGGAGATCTGCGAGCGGGCCTGGGGGACTGGCATGCCCGCGAGGCGGGCCTACTACAGGTGGCGCCACACGCTGACGCGGTCGCAGAGGATCGTGTCGGACTGCATGCGGCGCTACGACTACGTGTGCCTGCGGACGTGGCTGGCCGAGCTGCGGCGGGAAGGGCAGCCACCGCCCATTGGCCCGCTCAGAGCGCCTTCGGTGCCGTGGAATGCGGGACGCAGGAGGCGACGGAGAAGTGGTTGAGGGTCGGCCTCTCCTGGCACGGGCAGCCGCTGCGTGGCGTTCTGGCCCCAGCGGCTCGCCGCAAGGCGCTGCGCGGCGGTCTGGCCCCAGCGCGCCGCCCTTCGCGTCCGTCGACGTGATCGGCATCACTGGCCTCCCCTGAGGCTGCGGCCCCCTGGCCGCCTGTGCTGCGTCTAGTTGGCCTGGCCGACGCGACGTCCTGCCGCTGCTCTCCGCTGCTCTCCTCCTCCTCCTGCGACGATTCATCCTGCCACGAGACTCAGCTGCTGTACCAGTCTCACGATTGGAGGCATTGATCACGGGCCCCCTCACACAAAGAGCCGAACCAGCAGTGGCCAGACCCAGTGGTGGTAATCTGACGACCAGAAACACCCGAATTGGCGAGAAGAGGGAGGCAGGTGTATTGTGAGAGCTTCCCAATCTTGGGTTATAGCAAAAAAGAAACAAGTGGTGTGTGTGTGTGTGTGCGTGTTCACATGCAGAGGGATTGGTGAGCAAACGGGCGTGTGGCAATGCAACGAATACGACGGGATAGATTTTGCAGCCAGGGCGTTTTCTTCGAAGAGAAGATGTTGAAAACATGGGAGTTCCCAAACCTACTGAATACATGTGTGTCCACCCCCGTGGTATTCCAAGTGAGTTCGCAAGTGAGGTGCACTTCGACAATGTCCCAAGTAGTCTTACCACACACGCTCGAAGACGACTGGACAACACACGCCACCATTACGCAACATGCTGCTCTGCTATAGAAGCCCTACTGGTTCGTACGCACTCGCGCGCACATACACACATACACACACGCACACACCTTCGCAAGAACGTCTGCACCCGTCGGCCAGGTCACATTGCAATGGGGATTCGAAACAATGTTGGCTGGCGAAATATTTAAGCCACAACGGTTTCACGCTGCATCGGCTTTCCAAAGTGATCCGGCGACGCAAAAAGGTGGGGAGTACAACCAATACGTAGTACCCCGCAAATGCGGCTACGAGTGAGGTGGCGGCGGGCGTCGTCGGCAACCTTCAAGGCTCTGAAGAAGCGAAACGCAAGCGTCGATTTCCTTTATATACAACATATTGCACACCGAGCCCGCCGCAGGCGCCGACTTTTTCGTCATCGCATTGTGGGTGGGTTGCAGGTTTGTCGCGGGGTGGGTCGCGGGCGAGGGCGGCGACAACAACATCACAACGCACCAACACCAACAATGCAACAACAATCCGCACAGCGGAGAACCCCACTTCAGCCACGCGCCCAGGGACAGTGAATGGCCGTTCGGCCACCCTACTCTGACCAACTAGTCAAAGAGCCCCCCGCAGGCGCCGATTTTTTAGTCAAAACAATGTGGGTGGGTCGCGGGTGGGTCGCGAATTGGTCGCTGGGTGGGTCGCGGGTAGATCGCGGCAGTCTGCGAGGCTCTGAGGAAGCCCACCGCAGACGCCGATTTTTCAACACATTGCACAGTGACCCCGCCGCAAACGCCGAACTTATATCAACATTAGCCTGGCGAAGGACCCAACCATTGGCAATTGTGAATACGGTCGTTGTACGCACCGTAGTCGGAGAAGTTGCCGATAGGGCCACGAAACGTGTGAAGGATGTGCCAAATTTGGTTCGGTGGGCGCATGTGAAAGCAGCCACTGGGGCCGCCCGTGGAATTCCCCAGGAGGCCACGAAACGCGTGAGGAGTGTGCCGAAATAGGTGCGGTGGGTGCATGCGAACGCAGCCACTGGGGCCTTAGGTGGAGCTCCATATGGGGCCACGAAACGCGTGAGGGGTGTGCCGAAATGGGTGTGGGGGGCGCATGTGAAAAGTGGCACTGGGGCCTTCAATGGAGGTGTGAGGGGGACGCATGTGGACGGTGGCACTGGGGCCTTCGGTGGAGCTCCCTATTTGGCCACGAAACGTGTGAAGGGTGTGCCGAATGGGTGTGGGGGACGCATGCGGGCGGTCCCCCTGGGGCCTTCAGTGGAGCTCCGTATTGGGCCACGAAACGTGTGAGGGGTGTGCCGGAATGTGTGTGTGTGTGTGTGGGGGACGCATGTGGACGGTGGCCTTGGGGCCTTCGGTGGAGCTCACTATTTGGCCACGAAACGTGTGAGGGGTGTGCCGAAATGGGTGCAGGGGACGCATGTGGACGGTGGCACTGGGGCCTTCGGTGGAGCTCCCTATTGGGCCACGAAGCGTGTGAGGGGTGTGCCGAAATGGGTGTGGGGGACGCATGTGGATGGTGGCACTGGGGCCTTCGGTGGAGCTCCCTATTGGGCCACGACGCGTGTGAAGGGTGTACCGAAATGGGTGTGGGGGACGCATGTGGACGGTAGCGCTGGGGCCTTCGGTGGAGCTCCCTATGGGGTCACGAAGCGCTGTACTGGGGGGGTGGAACGCAGGGAGGAGGAGGAATAGGAGGAGGAGGAGGAGGAGGGGGAGGAGGAGAGGAAGAGAGGAGGAACGTGGGGAATGTCTCTTCAAGACGAGGACCCAGCACCACAAGATGGTTGGGAACAATGTGGGTGGGTCGCGGGGTGGGTCGCGGGGGGTGGGTCGCGGGCGGGTCGCGGGATGGGTCGCGGCAATCTGCGAAGCTCCGAGGGAAGCCCGCCGCAGGCGCCGATCCTTTTACACATTGCACAGTGCACACGCCGCAAGCGCCGAAATTCTGTCAACACAACTAGGGTGGGTCGCGGGAGGGTCGCAGGATGGGTCGCGGGATGGGTCGCGGGGTTGGTCGCGGGCGAGAACGACGACACCAACTACGCAACAGCAACACCAACAACAAACCACACAACACCAACAACACCGACAACAACAGCACCGCCAGCAACACCAGCACCACCACCAACAACATCAACGCAACAACAACGACAACGCCAACAGCACCAACAGCACCAGCAACATAACCAGCAACCCACAACAAGAACACCACCGCCAACAACAGCAACGCAACCAACAACAACAACGCATCAACATCAACCACGCGCCCAAGGATAATGAATGAACGTTCGGCGCCCTCACTCTGATATGCCCTGAGACTGCCTATGACAGACACGCCTGACTTGAACAATACGGCGGGTGGAACATCCTAGCAAGCAAACAATACACATTAAGACACTGGCAACGTCTTGTGAACAGAAGCGGGGCACCGATTGTACAGCGGCTTCTTGAAAAACAGGTTATGCGCCAGCTCATGAATGGCAAGGAACAACGACTGAGTAATGGTAGCCCCAAAGACGTAGGCGATCATCAGGTACGGCAGCCAATGCATGTCCTGACGGTACGTTGTTTGGTGCTCTCTGTAAGCTGAAACGGTCAGCCTGCTGCAAGCACGCGCGGCACTTGTACTTCAACCTGCATCTGCTGGACACGGACAAATGGGAGGAATGATATTGCCCGCTGTGCAGAGACCCACCATCCCTGCCTAAAACCTATGCAACGTGATTGCTATCACGCACACACACACCATACACAATGCCGCCCTTCCGCCACTTTGCATATTTGAAAGTGACGGCCGGGGTTGGGTCGACATACTTCCCGATGTGTGCTGTGACGTGCGCCCTGACGCGCGATAGTCCCGACGCGCACGTGGGCCACCTGGCACGGTTGGCGCACGTGGCCCACTGGGTGCATGTGGAGCACGTGGCGCATCTGGTGCACCATGCACGTCTGGCACGCTTGGGCCCATGGGGTACCTGGCGCACCTGGCACGCACAACGCACTTCGCGGACGTCGTGCACCTGGATGCGTCAGCAGCTGTTCCCGACGGTTGTCGGTGGCGGCTCCTGCCTAAATAGTACTGGGAGGGCGGGTCGGAGTGAGCGAGAAAGCTCGCGGCGTTCTCGCTGGGAACTTGACCTCTCCCCCTCCTTCCCCTTCCCCTCCCGCTGGGTCTGGACGGGGCGTGCCGTGAGCGGTCAGAGGGTCCAAGGTGGCTCCAGATAACCTAATAGGGCCTCCAATCTTGCATAACATATGGTGGGGGCATTGGATACGGAACCCTTAGACAAGGCATCGAGGGTCTGGAGGCCAGTGGAACTCCAAACGAAGCTTGGCCATGGATATCACCGCCGCCCTCATCAGATAAGGAATCCTCCAGGGTCTGAAGCCCCGTGGGCACATTCCTTAACGAACGCTCCCACCGTATTCCAAAATGGCTTGCCATGGTCTCCAAGATGCCTCCGAGAGACACCAATGCCGCAGCGAGCCGGGTACAGCTGGGCACGGAGCCTCCCACGGACGCTTCCCATACACTCGACCAGGATAGTAAGGATGCGCGGTGAAGATGCAAGGGCCTTGGAACGCAGCAGAATGCCGAAGGATGCCGAATACCGAAGGGGCAAGGATGCAAGGGTATGTAGCCTTGGACAGTTGCCCCATCCTTACTATCATGGTTGACTGCATGCCCAGATCCTTCCATGACCCTAAGAGCACCACTTGTGTGCCTTCTCGCCACTTTGTGCTCCGATGGTCCTTGGGGCGTCCAGGTGGTTCCAGGATAACCAAAAGGATCCCCAAGACGGGCCCAAGAGGGCCACAATACGGCCCGAAGATGGGCCCAAGAGGCGAGCTTTCGAGCCCCCAAATGTCAACCCTAATGAAACGCCCCCGTTCTTTGATCTATGACCCTCCGTATGGCCCCGCGAAGGTCCCCCCCAAGGCTCCCACGAGAACCCCAAGAGAGCCCCACAGGCCTGCCACACGAATTCAAAATGGCCCAAGTTAACCGCCAAGAAACTCTCCTATCTCAATTTGACAGCTTCCAAGTCTGCTCATGCCCCTCCACCGTTCTCTGTCCCACTGCTTGTTCCTGCAACTCTCTGGTCGATGCACTTCGCCTCGGCATCGTTCCTGGATGGGTTTGTGCGGATACTTTTTCGTCGCAGCCACAGGCGAAGGCGCCTGCAGCTGGTCGGTTCGGCTCGGGCGACGTGCAAACCTGATTGCCGGAACGCACGCAGAAGAAAGCAAGACCTACTGCCGGGGGAAGCAGCTGCGCCGGGACCGTGCTGCAACCGGCGAGGCTGGGAACCAGCGCCGAAGGTGGGGACTGCAATGTGCTGGGGCTGCCAGGGAGCTGCAAACGTGCGGGTACATGGGAGCCGAATCACCAGGTACGTGGCTTGGGCCTTGTCGCCACAGGGCGCCAG